CGTCGCTGCCCCGGGTGCGTGGCACATGTGCGGTGCTGGCCCCGAACGCCCGGCAGCCCTGAAAGGTTGGGGACCAGTGGTCTAGACCATCCCTGATAGACATTTATCTAACCTGCTCTTAAATATCTCCACAGATGGAGATTCCACAACCTCCCTGGGCAATTTATTCCAGTGTTTAACCACCCTGACAGTTAGGAACTTTTTCCTAATGTCCAACCTAAACCTCCCTTGCTGCAGTTTAAGCCCATTGCCTCTTGATCTAATCTCAGAGACCAAGATGAACAAGTTTTCTCCCTCCTCCTTATGACACCCTTTTAGATACCTGAAAACTGCTATCATGTCTCCCCTCAATCTTCTCTTTTCTAAACTAAACAAACCCAATTCTTTCAGCCTTCCTTCATAGCTCATGTTCTCTAGACCTTTCATCATTCTTGTTGCTCTTCTCTGGACCCTCTCCAATTTCTCCACATTCTTCCCGAAATGCGATGCCCACATCGCACACAATACTCCAAATGCACCAGGCAGCCCCATAAGGAGTTTTTCTGCTTCATTTTAACTAGGGAAGAGACAGTGTAAAGGTGCAACTCAAAACTCCGGTCATCTGAAGAAGTGGGATTTGCCCACGAAGGCTCATGATACCTCATTTGAAAGAGGTTAATGTACATTTTTCCATCCATCCCCAATCACACCCCTCCGTCTAAAATCTGGGTGCGTCTAGACTGCAAGGGTTTTTTTGGAAAAATGGCCATTTTTCCAAAAAAACTTCACTTATGTCCACACTGCTATTGCGTTCTTTTGAAAAAAAATCGAAAGAACACAGGGGTGTTTCTGACATTGGTAAACCTCATTCTACAAGGAAGAATGCCTTTTCCGAAAGAGCTCTTTCAGACACAGAAAGAGGGAGTTTTTTCGAAAGAAGAGGCCTCCAGGAAAAAGCACAGGTGCCCTGGTGGCTATTCCATCCATAGTAATCACAGCTTACATGCGAGAGAGCGCCCAAAGAGTGTGGATGCTCTCTTTTGAAAAAGCAGATCACTTTTTTGATGCACTTTGGCAGTGTGGACGCTTTCTTTCAGAAGAAGCTTGCAGTCTAGACGTACCCTCTAATGTTGGGCTATGCATGATTCCATCAATCTCCAATCACAGTGGAGAGCTACTTACCAGTAGCTGGGAGGAAGGGCTTTATATATTATCATTAATTTTTATAGAATAATTACTTACAGCTACATTAAATTTATGTAGAGATTAAAATTAATTATTAGTTTCACTCTGAAGTTTGCAGAAGGAAAAATTATTTTCCCCGTTTCAATTTTGTATTTATTTGCAAATATGTCAGAGGATTTATCCCATACAATGCTTATTATTCAACAGCTCTATGCTTTTCTTATATAAAGTGCAATAATTATGAGAATGATTCACCATTAGATAGATATAGATATTAAAGACACTAACCAGAACATGTTACGTTATTTGGAAAGGAAATCTTGGACGCAAGTAACAGAATATTGACCCCAGCGATCTTATTGCAAAACATCAAAGAAGACCTGGAGTTGGAAAACATCAGGCTCTGGGGAGTTGGGAAGTCTATTTTTTTATTGCCATGCAAGATGCTTAAGCATATGCCCTAGCTTTTAAGCACGTGACTTCGGTTAGGAAGGGTTTGAAGGACTGAGGCCTTACATTGTAACAAGGAGCAATAAAACCACAGCTGTATTTATTTATTTACGTATTTCCAAATTGTCACGGAAGACAGCCTGCTCAACGGGAAAATTAAACACTCTACAGAAAAAGCTGATGGATTCTTTTGTGCCAGCAGGTGGTTTTATCATCTCTCTCTCTCTAGGGTCTGGCTTGGGCACCCATTCCCAGGGTATTTCCTTACTAACAAGAAAATCATCTAATAGTATTCCAATATAGTTTCATGATTTACTTTTACCCTGAAATACTCAGAGTTTAAAACACTGATTCGAATTAGCTTTTACAGAAAGACCCATTTACACAGCTCTGGTAGCATAATGGATCTTTAACATGTAAATTACATTTAAGGCAGATTTATTAATACACACACATGGACACACGCTTATTCATACATCTACAGTTTATTTGCAAGTAAAAGCCAAAAGGTTCGTAGCCTCTGATGTCTGTGCCGGACAAAACCAGGGCTTGAAGGCACAGACTTTGCCAGGACTCAGACATCAGCAATGGAAGATGCATTTTCTTTAGGGGCACACAGCTCTGGAAAGGACTCTGAAAACCTCCAGCGTGGGAGAGACATTGGGATCACACGGCAGAGCTTCCGGCTTTGTGTGACAGTAGAAAGACAGACAGAGGGGCAGGAATCACACCTAGGGTGTGGATGGATCGGTACAGAGACATGCACACAATTGCACACTCCAGTGTACACATACATTGTTGCAAAGTAACAGCAAATTTCCATTCGCATGTCTGGATGTGCACATGCGTGCACATCGCGTGCTCATGCGTGCAGGTATTTGTTTGTATAGCTTTGCGGTGCTGTGTGTGCGTCTGTCCATGGCCATTTGTGTTTATAGCGTGTGTGTGACCATAGTTTGACATTTATATGATGAATGTTTGTGTCATTCCCTGTACTTTTGTATCGATATGTGGTATGTGTAGGTGGATGTGTCTGCGCTTTGCTTGTATTTATATTGTCTGCATTTGCGGGGGGTTAGAGGCATCGTATGTGTGTGTATTTGTATGAAATATGAGACCTCACTTCCCATTTGATCTTTCCCACTAGACCTGGTCAATCTAGGCAGCATCTGCCCCCCAAGACATCTCCCAGGACATCCCCTGTGTCCTGAAGGCGTCCTGCAAAGCATCAGGAGTTGGAGCAAACTCTCCTTTCTCCACCCAGCTGCAGCCTGCTTTGCATATTAATGTCTTATTTACACTTCACAGGGGAAGCCCTAGATATAAAGCCACCTTGGGCCCTTCCTTTGTGGAAAAAGCCAGGCAGCCGGCCAGCAGGCTGAGGGGCCAGGCGAGTGCAGCGTGCATCTGGAAGGACCCTACCCGTCCCATTAGGCTCGGAGCTGCTGAGCGACCATGCTCCAGAACCCAGTCTTCCCAGATCTGCTCTGCACCCTCCTGGCACCTGCCACAGACGCATCTGGGCCTCCAGATGTTCCCCAGCCCCCTCCGAGGACGCCCTTTAGCATCGAGGCCATCCTCTCCAAGCCGGAGCCGCAGCAGAAGGGCACCGCCTCTCCCAGAGAGCCACCCCACCTGCCTCTGGAGTGGCACAGCTGGATGTACCCAGCTGCCCACTCCGTGGGCCTCCTGCCCTGCCCAGCCCTGCAGCTGGAGAAGCCACGCCATGGGGCTCTGCACCAGCAGCTGCAGAGAGGCTGCCTGGTCTCTCTTCCCAGCTGGAAGCAAGACAGTAAGTAGGTTCACACTGGAGAGGTTACAGGGGTGGGTGGCTGGAGAGGGGTGCTCTGGAGGGGCTGTGAGGTGTGGAGGGAGGGTGTGTGTGTGTGCCTCTGTTCCCAGGTTTTTTCTGTCTAGTGTGTGTGCACATGTACGGGGTGTTTGTGTGAATGTCTGGGGTTTCTTTCAGTGGGAGGGTGGGGTGGTGTATCTCTAGGGTCCTCAGACTGGGGGTCACCAGGTGGGGGTGTCAGCTGTCAGCCTCCCTCCCCCCCAAATCCCACTCCGCCTCCAGCATTTATAATCCTGTTGTTACATAGAAAGACATGTGTTTTTAGTTTAAAAGGGAGGGGTCCCACTCAGGAACTTGCTGTGTGAAAGGGCCTACAAAAGTTTGGGAGCCTCTGGAGCAGGGAATGGGGTGTTCCTGCCTGGGATGCTTGGACATATTAGGGGGCCCGAGGGGTGCGTGGGTACGTGGCATGTCTGCTGGGGGGTGAGGTGGACCTGGATCGGTGTACTGTAGAGGGTGTTTCTGTAGTGCGCACACAGGTGTGTGGCTCTGTGGAGGGGGAGAGGCATATGGGTCTGACCCATTTCTGTCTGTGGGATGTTTCTGTCCTAGTGCAGTTGGCATGGAGGTTGGTTTGTGGGAGGGTGGACAGAGGGTGGGTGGAAGATGTCCTAGGTAGGAGCTAGGTATGTATTGTTGTTGTATGAGCTGTGTCTGTAGCTCTGTAAGAATCTGTCTGGAGGTTGGCAAGCATTCTGCCTGTCCTTTAGCTTCCTTAGCAAAAGATACAACAGATTCATCAGGACTGGGCCGAAGCAAACTGTGACCACTTGAGCGTTGACTTTTTCTGGGTTAATCAAACTAGTAGAAAACCCAAAAGGTTTTTTTATTATTCTTTTAGGACCCCGGAGATTTTTAGGGTGCATCTTGCACCCCAGCTGGTTTGTTGATGGCACTGATGCATTCACAGACAAAACTCAGTGTAGTGCCGTAATTTCCCAATACAGGCAGTCCCCGGGTTACGTACAAGATAGGGACTGTAGGTTTGTTCTTAAGTTGAATTTGTATGTAAGTCGGAACTGGTACATATTGTAGGGGAAACTCTAGCCAAACATTTCTCCAGAGCTCAGTTTTATTCTCCCACACCTCACTTCCCTCAGGCCTTTATTCTCAAGCTGAGGTGTCTGCTGAGAAAAGCCGCTCTGCGTCTCCCTGGTCTGCTGGGCGGGACCGCGCC